TGTCCTGATACAAGGAACGAGGACAGTCTCCAGAAGCTGGAAGTCAGGGAACGGATTCTCCCTTAGAGCCTCCAGAGAGAGCAGTGACTGCAGACACCTTGATCTCGGCCCAGGGAACCCAGGGCATTCATGGGAAACTCATCCAAATGCCGAGAGTGACATCAGAAAGTACACATTCCTACATGTTTCTGCACAGAGAAAGAAACTGTTCTTTCAAAACGTCCTTCTACAGCAGGCACACAATGGTATTTTCATTTTCAAGTAATAGAGCCTGAGTAGTCGCTTCAGATAAAATAAAAATAAAGACTCTGAGGCACAGAGAGTGTCAGGTGTAGTTTAAGGACGCCGGGGCTCAGAACCAACCCAGAGGAGGTGGACCCTCTGATTACCTGTTGGTGCCACCCAGAGCAGTGCTCAAGGCCTGGGGCGTGAATGGATTCCTGAAAGTATCTGGGAGGGCAGCCCCTTGGGATGTGGCCTGGTGAAGGTAGGGGGAGGTGGTGGGTGAAGGGCATCAGTAGGGGCAAGGGTGTGTGTCCCCAAGGAAGGTAGAGAAGGGAGGCACAGGTGCTGCAGGTGAGGAGGGGGCACCAGATGAGCAGACCCACACAGAACAAGGGACAAATGACAGGCTGAGTGGGAGAGAGAATCCAGTGGGGACTAGGAATCCAGGGTTAGAAGGGGTTGGGGCATCCGGATACCATGGAGGAGGCGGCTGGAGCTGAGGTCTTGGTCATGAACATGGGGACAGTAACCAGTAGAGAGTTTGGGAAGCCAGCCTAGAAGGGGGAGAACGACTGGCATGGAGTGGGACCTATGTGGAGGAACTAGGTTGGCAGGGTGAGGGCAGGGTTTGCAACGTTTAGCTCCAATCCGGTGATATGTGTGGAGCTGGCTCTCAAAGCAGGGTCTGGGATCAGCCCCGAAAATGGAGAAAAGGGGGGAACACCCAGATGATTGAGGATGAGCTTGGAGGGAGGGTAGTTCTCTAGGGGCAGGAACTATTTCCACACAGTTTTCGTTCTTCACACATTAAAGGGCTCTATGGTGTAATGTGTCCTTTCAAACACTGATCAACACTTCACTGTTTAGGACATACTTTTTCCTACAACAGCAGATTTGTGGTTAAACCTACTAGGATTCAGAATCCTAATTGTGTATGAAGTCAACATGCCCAAATTAGTTGGTTTTAGGACTTGTCTCCCTCAGGAGAATGGAGGGCTCTCCTCTTACATCACAAAACAAGGGGCTAAGGATACTTTCAGAGGACGGGGACGATCTGGCAGTGTCTCCAGGAGAACAAAAGGACCTTCAGGACCGGGTCCCTCTGTTTTTGTCTAAAGTAACAGGGCTTCTTATTGTTCCAAATTGGAAAGGAAGAAGTGAAACTCTCACTATTTGCAGATGGCATGATTTTACATACAGAAAACCCTAAACAATCTACCAAAAAACTTTTACAAATAATAAGTGAATATGGTAAAGTTGCAGGATACAAAATCAACATACAAAATTCAGTTGCATTTCTATACACTAACAACAAAGTAGCAGAAAGAGAAATTAAGAATACAATCCCATTTACAAGTGCAACGAAAAGAATAAAATATCTAGGAATAAACTTAACCAAAGAGGTGAAAGATCTGCACACTGACAACTGTAAAACGTTGTCGAATGAAATTGAAGAAGACACAAAGAAATGGAAAGATATTCCATGCCCTTGGATTGGAAGAATTAACGTAGTCAAAATGTCCATACTTCCTAAAGCAATCTGTAGATTCAATGCAATCTCTATCAAACTGCCAACAACATTTTTCACAGAAATAGAACAAAGAATCCTAAAATTTATATGGAACAACAAAAGACCCCAAATAGCTAAAGGAATCCTGAGAAAAAAGAACAAAGCTGGAGGTATCACACTCCCTGATTTTAAGATATACTACAAAGCTATAGTAACCAGAACAGCACGGTACTGGCACAAAAACAGACACACAGACCAATGGAACAGAATCGAGAGCCCAGAAATAAACCCATACATCTATGGACAGCTAATTTTCAACAAGGGAGCCAAGAACATACAATGAAGAAAGGAAAGTCTCCAATAAATGGTGTTGGGAAAACTGAACAGCCACATGCAAAAAAAAAAAAAAAAAAAGTAGACCGTTATCTTACACCATACACAGAAATTAACTCAAAATGGATTAAAGACTTGAATGTAAAACCTGAAACCATGAAAATTCTAGAAGAAAACATAGGCAGTACGCTCTTTGACATAGGTCTTTGCAGCATATTTTCAAGTACCGTGTCTGACCAGGTAAGGGAAACAATAGAAAAACAAACAAATGAGAAGACATCAAACTAAAAACTTCTGCACAGCAAAGGAAACCATCAAGAAAACGAAAAGACAACCTAACAATTGGGAGAAGATATTTGCAAACCATATATCTGATAAGGTGTTAATATACAAAATAGATAAAGAATTCATACATCTCAAAACAAAAAAACTAACAACCCAATTAAAAAATGGGCAAAAGACCTGAACAGACATTTTTCCAAAGAAGATATATAGATGGCCAATGGGCACATGAAAAGATGTTCAACATCATTAACTATAAGGGAAATGCAAATCAAAACTACAATGAGATATCACCTTACACCCATCAGAATGGCTATAATTAACAAGACAGGAAACAACAACGAAACCTTTTGTAGAGGTTGTGGAGAGAAGGGAACTCTCATACACTGCAGGTGGGAGTGCAAACTGGTGCAGCCACTATGGAAAACAGTATGGAGATACCTCAAAAAATTAAGAATAGAACTTCTATACGATCCTGCTATTCCACTGCTGGGTATTTGTCCCAAGAACATGAAAACACAAATGCAAAAAGACACATGCACCCCTATGTTCACTGCAGCGTTATTCACAATAGCCAAGACTTGGAAGCAACCTAAGTGCCCATCAAGGGACGAATGGATGAAGAAGATGTGGTGTATATATATATACAATGGAATACTACTCAGCCATAAGATACGATGAAATCCAGCCATTTGTGATGACATGGATGGACCTCAGGGTATTACGCTAAGCGAACTAAATCAGAGGGAGAAAGTTAAATACCACAGGATCTCACTCATCAGTAGAAGATAAAAATAACAACAAACAATCACATAGAGACAGAGACTGGATTGGTGGTTACCAGAGGAGAAGGGGGGTGGGAGGAGGACAAAAGGGGCAATTAGGCACATGAGTGTAGTGGTGGATTGTAATTAGTGTTTGGGTGGTGAACATGATGTAATCTACACAGAAACTGAACTATAGTGATGTACACCTGAAACTTATATAATGTTATAAACCAGTGTTATTGCAATAAAAAAAAAAGAATAAGTTGGCACTCAGTATCCACAGGTTCTGCATCCACAGGTTCAACTAACAGTGGATTGAAAGGCCTACTGTGGTTGTGTCTATGTTGAATATATGCAGACATTTTTTCTTTTCATTATTCCTTAAACAATATGGTATAAGAGCCATTTACATAACAGTTACATTGTATTAGGTACTATAATTAATCTAGAGATGATTTAAAGTATACAGGAGGATGTGCATAGGTTATATGCAAATACTAAACTATTTTACATAAGGGACACGAGCGTCTGTGGATTTTGGTATCTGCGGGGGGCTCCTGGAAACAATCCCCCATGGATGCCGAGCAACAACTGTATCTGCTTCCTGGCATTGTTCTAAAGATTTAATGTAATATTCAATTAAACCTTTAGCAAAGTGCTACACACAAAGGACATGTTCCATAAGCACTAGCTGCTATTATTACTATTATTATCTTTAGCTTCTATGAAATCAGGAAGTCCTAGAGTCAAGGACTACCTGACTCTATATCCACCTTTTACTAGAAATATGACTTTGGGTAAGTTCTCTCACCACTGTAAGTCTCAATTTTTCATCTGTAAGATGGAGATAATGTCTATCTGACAGTCTTATTATATGAATCAAATATTATATGAGATATATGTAAAGTATACAGCACAGAGCCTGGCACATAGTAAGAACCTCATAATAATCGCTAACATTAGCATTAATCATCAGTCTTGCATTGACTTATGAGGGCAACAGAAATAGAAAAGAAGAAAAAGACGCAAAATGTAATATATATTGGAGAGGAGGGGAGGTATAACACAAAAAACCCACTGGGACATGGTTACTGACTAAATATATGAGAAACAAAGCAGTTGAGTGCAAAGTTTCACATGTGGTATGTTAGATTTCATCCCAAGATGCAGCCAACACGGGATTAGACATACAAAACATTTGTTGGGGAAAACACTTGTAAAGGAAAGTGGGGCAGGAGTAGGAGGAGCCTGGGAGATTTTTCAGACCATGATGCAGATCTGATCCCTGTGAAGGAGAAAGAGAAGGAAGAAAGCTTTAGTTGCAGTGCAGTTCTAAGAGAGTGTCTACAAGGCTGACAGGGTGTCCTTGAGCTAAAGTCACTCATCAGAGGAAAATCATTTCTTGCAGAATTGGGAATGCTTTTACATCCCTGGGGGGAGCCTGTGGGAAGCGTGGTCTCTGTGCAGTGAGCAGTGTGGTGAATGGAGATGGGGCATTCAGAGTGCACTAGCCCAGGCCTCCCGTCAATTAAGTCCCCACCACAAGAGACCTGAGAGGCACATATTCATGGCTGCCACACCTGGTACACAGAAAAAGATGCAACCATGAAAAGGTGTGAAGTTATAACATACAAAAAGAGCCATCAGCCTTTCTCACATTTCCAGAGCCTTCAAAAACACCTGAGTGCAGAAATGCTGGGATGCAATTGAGTCAAGTCTGACCACCAACTTAGAAATACAGTAAGAGAAAAAATTTACAAGGATATAGTCAGCTAATCACCCCACAGCAACCTTCCCACAGAAAATTTATTCCTTGAAGGAAAAAATAGAGACTACTCCATGTTGAGAGTTGTTTCCCAGGGCATCCCCACTGTAAAATAATGTCACCTTCCTTCATTCTCTTCTCTTTCCATGACAGATGTTCCAACACAAGGAAGTTCTGGCCTCTCAGCTGGGGCTATTGTCAGCATCATGATTGTAGTGCTGGCTGGCGTAGCCCTGATAGCAGCCCTGGTGTACTTTCTGTATATCAGAAAGACTGGAGGATATGATGGACCTTCTTGGTGTTTCACTTTCTCCAAGGTTAACCACCATGCTTGGGAGAGGGAAGGAGCCTTCAACTCTCTCTCTGGGCCTGGCTCTGCTCCTCCTCCTTCCTAAACCCCTGCCTCTCGGCACTAATTCCTGCAGGTCTCTTTTTCCCTGGTCTTATGCTTCCTATACCCCCCTCGCCATAGGACATGGTTATTCCCATTCCCATCTGGTTGAGAGGGGACAGATCCAATTATGTTCCTCTGCCCCTAGTCAGGGAAGACAAGGTCCAAGAAGGAAAACAAGTGAGGAAATGAAAGGAGGGGCTGGAGAAAGCGAGTCGTGTGCTCTGTCAGCCATAGGAGAAGGAGGGAGGGCTAAGACAGGAAGAGAACCTAAGAAAATATGCAAACAAACAGATGCCTCTTGGGCAAGAAATAAAGTGAGAAAAAAACAGCATCTACCTACAAAAGGGGAAAGGCGTCAAGGTAGAAGTAGGCTCAGAAGCAGTTGATAAAGAATGGACCTAAATGTCCTTGACTGATGATGGGATAAAGAAGATGTGGTATATATATACCATGGAATACTACTCAGGCTTATAAAAAGACAAAATCGCCCCATTTGCAACAACATGGTTGGACCTGGAGGGTATTGTGTTAAGTGAAATAAGCCAGAAAGAGAAAGACCAGCAGTGCATGATTTCACTCATATGTGGAAGATAAACCAACACACGGACAGATAGAACTGTTTGGTGGTTACCAGGCGGTGGGGGGGAGGGTGGGCACAAGAGGTGGAGGGATGCACTTATATGGTGACTGATAGACAAAAATGTACAGCAAAAATGTCACAATAAAAAAAACTTCCTGATATTTGACCCTTTGTAATGCTGACACTTTTATGAAAATAAAGATATGCTGTCTTTGTTAACATTTAGCACTTACGTGATGTTTTACATTTTGTATTTGGTATTAAAAATATACAAGCTAAGCCACACACACACAAAAAAGATTGGACCTAAATGTAAACATCCAGCAAACAGGAAGGAGTAAACACTAGAAGGAATCGTGGGTAGACCGAGGAAGGAGGCCCTCAGAGGAAAGGCAGTACCCACCATGGTATAAATGAACATTGAGGAGCCCTGAGGAATTATCTGCTGGCAGTGTCCTTCTCATTCAAGGAGCAAAGATCTTATGCTCGGGAATAGCAGTCACAGTGTCTGATATTTATTTAGGGCAAGTGACCAGCGTGATCTCACAGAGCACAAAACCTCAGCCTCCAACCACAATAGGCAAAGCCACTCACCTAGTGAGAGCTTGTGTGTTCCACCACGTGCCCTGCCCTAGCAGGGAATCCTGGATTCCCAGCCACTCCCTACCTTCTGAATTTTTAGAGGGGATCTCCACTTCCCAACCTTAAGTTGACATAGGTCCTCACACCCTTCCTAGCCACAAAAGATTCCGCTGGGACACAGCCCTGGGAGAGATGCTCACTCTGCCTGGGCCAGGCAGGCCTAAGATGGACATGTTTCCAGGAGACATTTCCTCATCCTCCTCCTTCCCCCTGCTGCTTCTTTATGAATGTGAGCATTCTCCTTTGGTGAGACATTCCCTGTCTTGTGGTGCTCTGGGTGCTGTGGGCCTCAATGCCCCGCCTGGCCACTGAAGCCTATTGTTTAGAAACACGTCAGGGAAAAAATCAAGGCCTTGGGTTCTAGAAAAAATCTTCAGAAGTAGATGGAGGCCTCCTGTGGCTCTACTCCTGCCCCTCCTCTGGTACAAATGCCCTGGGTCTGGACCACACGCTCTGAGGATAGCCAATTCCTTAAGTGACCATGGACCATCTCCCCACTCCACCCTCCCACCACCTGACACCTCCTTCAGCTAGAAATCACAACAGCTTAGGAATGTCATCATTCTAAGGCCATAAGTCAGCTGTGTATTTCCGTGGGTTGTTAACTCTTCTTTTGCTTCCCCAGGTCAGGGCCACTCTGACAACTCCCCTAACAAGGTAAGCACAGCCAGTGTCACTGGTTCACTTTCTCATGGAAATATCTCTGTGTAGAATGGGTTATTCTTGAAGACACCAATGTGAGACCAGGTTTGGGTCAAAGTTCCTCAGTGCAGAAGCAAACAAAGAAGTGTTGGTAACGACCCCCATGAGTCTACCTCATTGCAAGCATGTGGACTTTGGAATTATCCCCATCCTATGTTTGAATCCTGGCTGAGACTCTTAGTACCTCTGTGATCTTGGACAAGTAGCTTAACCTTTCTGATCCTCAGCTTTGTCATCTGTAAATGGGCATGCTGCCTACTTCGAAGAGAAGCTGAAGGAGTTATGTAAGATACTAATGTACAGCATCCAGCACAGTGCCCAACGCAAGGAAGGACTAGATCATTCCCCCTCCTCTACCTTCAGTCTGACTCTGCTCTTACTGTCAAAGGATAAATTCCATTCTAATGGGTCTCATCTCTTAGTTCCTTTACTTTATAATAATTTAACCAAATTTTTCTCTTCTTAATCTTTCCATAGTGTACACATATATACTGAAAAGTGCTTAAATCACAAGTATATTTTAACAAATATGAATTTTCACAAGTTAAATATACCCATGTAAGCAGCACCAAAATCAAGAAACAAAATGTGTCATCCTTCCCCTGAAAAACACTCCAGTTACTTCCCTCCAAAGAGTACCCACTATCCTGACCTCTGATGCACTAGATTAGTTTTGCCTGTTTATGCTTGTCTGGCTGCAGGCCCAGCTGGGTGAGCAGTGTGGGGTAGGTTGCAGAGAGACCGAAAAAAGAACCAGAGACGGTGAACGAGACATATAGGTTTATTGGGAATTTCTTACAGGGATGTCCAGTGGTGGCTGGCTGGACAGAAATGTGTACCCGCTACCATGGGCAGGGAGAGGTTGCTTGTATAGGCAGGGGACACAAAGGCTATATGCTTGCCAAGAGGGGCTGTCCCTAGTACAACCAGCATTCCCAGGAACAACAGCTCAGGGGAGGGGCTCTGTGTCCCTTTAAGACATGATGTTTTTGAGTGAGATAAGGCAGGATCCAGGATGCCCAGGCCCTGGATTGTTACAAATCCCAGCAGCTGGGCCTTCTGCCTAGAAGGGAGCCAGAAGGACACATGGTTGCAATGGGCGTGTGGGCTCTGGCTGAGCAAGCAAGGCCCAGGCCCTACAATGCTCTTACATAAATGAAAGACACAATACATCGTTATATGTGTCTGGCTTCTTTCCTTCAAACTTGTTTTGTGAGATTCATCCACATTGTTGTATGCATTTGTAGTTTGTTTATTCCCATTGCTGTATCATGTATTCCATTACACGAATACCATAATCTCTCTCTTCCAATGATCATTCACAGGGTGTTAGCAAGCAGAGATAACAGGTGATCAAAGCCCTTCTCCAAAGCTAAAAGTTTCAAAGTGGTGATAGCACATGGTACTAAATCACACTAGACCAGGTGAGGGCCTGACCTGTGACACTGATTTAACTGACCGCTGCTCAAAAAAAAAAAAAGTACACACGTTTTAATCACTTTATGGGCTTTATTCAAGTAAATGCCCACAGAAGGAGGGGCTACAGCTTTAGGGAGCAGTCAGCTGTTAACAATTTGTTGGGTTTTGGGAAACGAATCAGAGAGATACCCTTCAGAGATTACTTAATAATTGTTAAAGAATGCATCATTTGGGGTAGTGGGTTTTTTCCCCTTTCTCTGAGACGTTCTGCCATTTTAATTTTTGTAACTGCTTATTTATGTGACAGGGGTTAGTTTTACTCAGCTTAGCTGTGTAAGCCAATCTGTCTGCCTTAGGTGAAAGAAGCCACCAAAACCCCTCAAGTCCCCTTGCCCAGGAGCTCCTCAAGGCTTCTGTGTCAGCGGCTCCAAATAGAAAAGAAGAAGCTGTTTTCTTCATTCATGGCTAGAAATGGATCTAACTCAGTTTCTAGGATCTCAGACCAACCACCATCCACCATTCTATCCCATGTGTCTGCCTGTGCATGTTCTGTCTGTCTGCCCCACTCACTTTCTGAGGAAACCCTGGCCCTGCTAAGGTGCATTTGGTCCTTGAGAAGTGGGAGCACCCTGAAGGGAACACTATCACTCATGCCATTGGCTACTTCTGAATTATTTGTTCAATGTGCTCTATATTTATAATAAAAATTATATATTAGACATCAACATACTGCCTCACAGCTGATACTACTGTAGACAATGTCTTCTTTACAGGCAGAAGAAAGAGAAATTGCTTAACTGGGTATTAGAGTAAGCCTATTTCTAAGTCTACAGATATTTGATCTAGTGATCAGAGAATTAGCTAAATTCCTTTGCACACCTTCTAACAAAGTGGGTCTATCTAGAACCAACAGGCCACAGCTCCAACCTGCCTGGAAGAATGGCTTGTCTTCCTCCCAGAAAGAAGATGATTGCATGAGGAAAATGTCTCCAGCCTCTTTCTTAGAGACAAGTAACCCTTCCCGCACAGGTGGCTCCAGTGAATCAGATGCAGCAATCTGGCTTTCACTCACAAGGGTCTCCAACTGTTCAGTCACATAGAAATCTCTCCAGCACCTTCTATCTTCCTTGTCCCCAGTTCCTTCAGATGGTCAGATCTCTTCTGGCCTGAATAATCATCATTTATTAATTCCACTAAGTATTAACCTATTATCTCATTTCTTTCACTTCCAAGCAATTGAAACGTGTACTGTCTTTCCTCTTCCTCATGACCTCATTTCTGCTGGCCCTCTGCTGTAGTGCCTCCAGACACAAGACTGCTGGAAGCAGCATAAAATCAGTATCCATCTCTTGGCAAAACTCAAAGGTATTTTCACCATCCTCACATTGTTCACTTTTACAACATCTAAGACCACAGACAACTTTTTCCTTCTTGGACACTCTCCTCCTTCCATCCCCACCGATGCACTGCACCCCCACACCAGATTTAGTACTCAGACCCTGCTTGTCTCCCTCCACCACCCTCTTTCCACAGCTCAGTGACCTCTCTGCAGATGCCTCCTACATCTCTATCTCTACACCTGCTCCTTCCCAGAACTCATGACACTCACATCCAAATACCTTCAGCCCTTGCTCTTTTGTTTCCCAGATTCAATACATCCTCAAAGCCTCGATTCTTTTTTAATAGCTCTCAGTTGTGTTGTTCTCTCCATTCCCATAAACCCTAATAACCCAGGCCCTCAACAACTCTGCTTCTGGAAGTACAGCTTGACGTCTTGTCTCTGGTCTATTCACTGAAATCTTCCTTGCATACTATTGCCTCATAACCTTCCTAAAAACTGGTTCACTGTCCTACTCAAGAATCTACAGTGGCCTACCAGATAACTTCATACTTCTTCCTCTATACTAACATTTCTTAATTTCTTTACCACTGCTCTCTAATATATTTCCTCCATTCTAATTATATCTGTCTCCTTACCTATCCCTACCCCTCCACCCCATATACACATATAGTTCTTAGTCCCAATGATATGCCTGAAAACAAACACCAAACAGGGCAATGTTCTCCCTGTTCTCTCACAGAGGAGTTACCCACACCCACCATCACAAGCAACAACTCTGACCCCGGGGATGACGAGGAGCCTGTAGCATTAATGTTTGAACCTGAGACTCAGGTCACAACCTACGTGTGGTTGAGAATCTTTTCTTGATGACTAGTTCCTGTGTTCCTGAAATCCTATTGAGCACCTCCTGTGCTACAAGTCTCAGTGTTAGATTCCATGAAAGATACAGAAATGAGAAAGGCAGGGTCCCTATCCCAGGGAACATAGAGCCTAAGACAGGAGATGAGACATGAAAAATTATTATAATACAAAAATAGAAATGGATAAATGACACAAGACAGAGATACAATGGGAAATATGGCTAAACATTAGAATGAGTGGGAAAAATTTAAAAACAGTTGGTACTCAGGCCCCACCCACAGATCCTGATTTAATTGGTGCAGGGTGGAACTCAGGCAAGGGTAATTTTTTAAAGCTTCCCAGATGCTGTTAACATGTAGCCAGGATGGAGAACCCCTGCTATAATAGGTACAACTTGAGCCTAAAGGCAGTGGTTTTTAGCTAGGACTATGGACCGTAATTACCTAGAGACCTTTTTCGACATACATAACAAGCCTATAAACCATCCCTGAAGAAGCTGATACAATATGTCTGGGGTGAGACTTGGGCTTGTGTATTTTGAAAAACTCCCAGGTGATTCTCACATATATTTTATGTTAGGAAACACTGACCTAAAACAGGTAGGACTGAAAAACTGGGGAGATAGGAGAACATTCCATGAGATGGGCATGAGATGAAAAATCTATTCTGCAAGGCACAGAGAAGTACTCAAAAAGAAACTATTGGCAAATAGCTAAACTTTAAAGTACCAAGTGTTGCGAGGATGGGAAACAACCGGTATTCTTACATATTGCTGGTGGAAATATAAAATGGCACAACCACTCTGGAAAAGAGTTTAGCATTTTCCTACAAAGTTACATATACTCATACAGTGCAGCATTCTCACTCCTGGGTATTTACCTAAGAGAAATGAAAATAAATATCCACACAGAGAATTATACACGAATGTTCATAGCACCATGATTCACAGCAGCCAAAAAGGGAAAACAACCCAAATATCCCTCAACATGTGAGTGGATAAACAGATGGTGGTATATCCATACAGTGGAATACTAATAAGCAATAAAAGGGGCACAAACTACTGCTAAAACAAGACGGATTACTCTCCAAAACATTATGCCATGTGAAAGAAACCACACACAAAGGAGCACATACAATATGATGCCATCTAAATGAAGTTCAATAGGCAATAGTAATTAATCGTGTTAAAATTCACCATAGGGGGTGGAATTAACTACAAAGGTGCACAAGTGAGCTTTTTGGGCTGATGGAAATGTGCTACCTCTCGGTGCAGGTGGTGATTACATGGGTGTATACATTTACTAAAAAAACAACTGTACACTTAAGATCTGTGTATGCTTTTCGGTGTATTTTAATTTTCCCTTGATTTTTAAAAATAAAATAAACAAAGGAGCAGATAATGCAGTCTATCAGATACAAAGCACCTGTATTTTCTATTTTTGCAAGACAAATTACCACAAATTTAGTGGCTTAAAACAACACCCCTTTATTAGCTCAGAGAATTCAGTTCCTTTAAGTTATAAGACCAAGGTCCCCATTGTCCTGCTAAGGACTGATGTTACTAGAGGAATAAGGACTACTACTAAGACCACTAATACTAAGGACTAAGCTACTAGAGGCTGTTCTCAGGTCCTACCCATGAGGCCCCCTCCATCTCAGCAATGGAGAAATC